GGTTATGGGATGCTCAACTTGACTGCAGAATAACAAATTGAGGACAATTTCCTTCTCAAAAATACTACAAAAATGGCAGATGACTGTGTTATTATTATTATTATACAGGATTTTTATAGCGCCAAAAGTTTGCTCAGCGCTTTGCAATGTAACGGGAGACAATACAGCAGCAATACAGTTCAATACAAGAGGGATAGGAGGGCCTTGCTCTTTGGAGCTTACAATCTAGGAGATCCAGCCAGAACCCTGGCAGTCTTTAGCAAAGTAAGCAACTTGCAGGAGCTCTGAGTCCCCTTGAATGGATTATTAGCAAAGTCTCAAATTGTAGGAGCTCTAAGTCCCCTAAGTGAACAAAATACCAGGCCACCTGGCTACGGTATCTGATTCCAGGACAAAGGATTGGGTAAGCTATGAACTGTCCCCTGAAAACTTGCCAAGAATTTGCAACTAGCAGACTTCTCCCTTTTAGGCCCTGGGGGTGTAGAGGTACATACACTGTTCTTGTCCTGCAGCTGTGGATAGGACTGCTTTCAGGCCTTTGTAGCTGGGCTGGTTCTTCTCCAAGCTTTGCAGGCTGTCCTTTCCTGTTGGACTGCAGGGCAGTGGAATTCCCTCCTTCAGCGCTCCTGTTTCCTCCTTCAGCTTCCAGCACCCACCCTGGAGGCAGAACCCCCTTCTCTGGGGCCCCCTTCCCAGGCTACACAGCAGCACCTCTCAGCACTCCATCTTCCACCAGACTCCCCTGCTGGCCAGGCTCTGTCATAATTATAAGCTGGTCTGCCACAATGCCAGGCCCCTCTGCCTGGGATTGATCAGACTTCCACAAATATGCAGATCAGCCCCTCCTAACCTCCGCCTACTGGCTTCTAGAAGCTTCTCCAAGTTTCTAGAGCAGGGGGAGGTACCAGAGGACTGACCTGTAGAGCCCTCCAGATTAACCTGGAATAACCCTCTGTCTAAAACACAGGCTTCTATCAAGCCGCTAACTACTCTCAAGAAACGATGTACACCTACTATATGTGCGCTACACAAGCAAACACAGTGTAAAAAAAAAATAAAAGCTCCCTGGCTCCCTGATTATCCAGGATCAGGCGTTTCACATGCTGAATGTTCACAGGAATGATTGCTGTGGGCTGGGAACCACCAAAGCCGGGGTGGTCACTGACGGACGTACGGCCATCTTTGAAACATTTACACCATTCAAATGTCTTACTGTAGTTGAGCGTCTCATCACCATACTGTGCTTGAAGTCTTCTATAGATCTCCGTGGGTTTTACCCCTTTGTTCACTTCATCACCAAACGCTATTCCATGCACACACTGTTGTCTGCTATCTTGATATATGGTCTCTTGACTGGCACAAGACATGTGCGCCGCTTATCAGTAATAGGGCACACTCGCCACTTACTATTGCGTGTAGTACTGCCACGCTAGCATCTCTTTTAATACCTGTAAAATGAAAAGTCCCAGTTTCACTTGAATTTATATGCCATAGTTTGCAGACTCTATAACTCTCACACAGAGTAAATATACATGGATTTGGGTCATTTTTATAAATAAAATGTAGCAGGATACATTTTGGCCAAAACTTAGGAAGAAAGATTATTTGTTTGAAAAATGTTATAACAGAAACTAAGAAAAACTTGTTTTTTTCTAAATTTGGGGTATTTTTTTCATTAATATAGAAAAAAAAACAGTGGTAATCAAAGTTTTATTTTTTTTTTTTTGTTTTGCAGTTATTGAATAGATATATCAAAATACTTTAAATGGTATAGTTGAAGTGTCTCTAAAAATGCTTCATGTCTGGCTGTATCTGACTTCATGTTTTAGGTACAGTCCTGGAAAAGCATGCATTTTATGAGTGTCAAAAAGTGTCAGAAATACTTACCTCTGTACTTGTACTGGATCGTTGACATTGTTGACGTCAGGGTATCAGAATGACAGTCTGGGGACTGGCATTCTCAACAGAAAGTTTATTAATGGCAGCCTTTGTTAATCTATCATGACAGTGTTCCCCTAACACAGTGGTCTCCAAATTATGACCCTGAGGCCAGATTCGGCCCTTTGCTTGTTTTTATCTGGCCCATGAGGCATTATTCCTGCCACTGACACCAATAAAGGAGCATAATTTCTGCCACTGACACCAATAAAGGGGCACTATTCCTTACACTGACAATAATGATGGGGCATAATTCCTTTTACTGACAACAAAAATGGGGCACTATTCCTCCCACTGACACCAACTATTCTCCACCTAATACCAAAGATCAGGCATTGAGCACAGTACGACCCCCCCCCCCCCCCCCCAAAGTCTAAAGGGCACTAAACTGGCGCTTTCTTTAGAAAGTTTTGAGACCCTTGCTTTAACAGACTAAAAGGTACCAAATCAGAGAAGATTATTGTTAAGGTTTACATACACGGTAATGTCCTGCTACAAAAGGATTCTGTAATATTAGCATGTTTAGATCCCATTTTGCTTAGGCACAAACTTTTTGAGCTTATTTGTCCACAGTTTTAGAAAAAGAAAATATGTAAGCTGTGGCCCAACTCTTTAGCAATGTTTAGCAAAATATGAAAAATATTTGCAGCCATCATTGTGAGTTATATTTGGGTAGTCTAACGAGAGGTTAACGGCCTTTTGGAATCCTATTTCTTCTGAATTAGTTGAGTTGCAAAAAATGTCAATTTCCTTTTAACTGGAAAAGCTAATTCTGTGGTTTAAAACACATGAAACAACAGAATCTAGTGTAGGACACCTACCACCCCTGCAGAACTGACCATCTTATTTCTGCCAGAAATATCATTGCTCAAATGATCCACTTACACAGGCTTAGGTCAGGACTGGGACAAGAGATTGTGCGGCCTGATTCTATTATACGGGATCTTTGCTTGCACAGTAGTCACAACTGGTTAATAATTTATAGAAAGAGAATCAAAAAGGTTAATCTTGCACCTAGTTACACCTAAACATGATGCATAGGCAAGTGGCAACATTGGGGGACTTCAGGACCCACTTCATCAGCAGAAAGCTGAATACTGGAGAATCCATTACGCAATATGCAATGGAACTGCAAAACATATCAGCAGAGAAAAGGGCCAAATAGGACAGACTGGTTTGAGTTATGTAGATGGATAGCTGAAGGAACAATATTTAGATGGACAGCTGTTCAACAAGGACAGAGAAACCTAGCAAGAAAGAGAAGGAAACAACCCAAATTTGAAGTTCCATGAACTGTTAAAAATGGCTATAGCGTTCCAGGAGCAGAGGCATACAGGCTCGAATGCGCCCATGGTCCTCATAGGTGGGAAATTGATAGATCCACCTGCAACTGAACAGAGAGATACATGGGAAGTGACTTTCCATAAAATGGCAAAAGGGATGACTCAGATCCAGAGTTTTCCTCATTGAAGCATAGACAGGAATAGCCCTCAGAGGGACAAGCAGTGGACGCCCCCTCATAGAGAAGGAAACCACCATGCAGGCAGTCAGAGTGGGCAAGTTTGCCATGCTGTGGCTGTCAAGAATTGAGTCATCAACAGAGGGACTGCCCCAGCTGTACACAGAGGAAACTACTAACCTAGAATACCTGGCTGGCAAGAATCATGCAGTTGGGTAGTAAAGCAGAATGGAATAACTACACATATGTGCTAACTAGAGACAACTTATACATGCTCTTTTAAAAACCCCAATACACCTCCCAAATGCCAGACAGAAACAGTATACACAGCTTATGACTCAGTACCAGGGCGGCTCTTTATTTAAGCAAAGCATTGGAGGTGCGTGAAGGAAGCCCGATGCAGGTAGAGACACACTGAGCAAGTGAGCAAGGAGAAGGAGGGGGATTCGACAGGCTCTGATTCCATCTACCCCCACCACCACCACCACTGCATCTGACAGATCTCATCCCCTCTCCTCATCAGGCAGTGGTAATGGGGGGATAGGAATGCCATCAGTAGCAGTGGAGGTGGTGGGGATAGGGATGACAACAGTGTCAGCAATGTTGGTGGGGATAGGGATGACATCAGTGGCAGTGGTGGGGATAGGGATGACATCAGTGGCAGGGATAGGGATTATATCAGTGCATGTGGTTGGGATAGGGATGACATCAGTGGTGGTGGGCATAAGGATGACATCAGTGGGAGTGGTGGGGATTGGGATGATATCAATGGAAGTGGTAGGGATAGGGATGACATCAGTGGCAGTTGTGGTGGTGGGGATAGGGATGGCATCAGGGGCAGTGGTGGGAATAAGGATGATATCAGTGGCAGTAGTGGGGATAGGGATGACATCAGTGGTGGTGATGGGGATAGGAATGACATCAGTGGCAGTGGTGGGGATAGGGATGCCATCAGTGGCAATGATTGAGATAGGGATGATATCAGTGGCAGTGGTTGGGACAGGGATGACATCAGTGGCAGTGGTTGGGATAGGGATGACATCAGTGGTGGTGATGGGGATAGGAATGACATCAGTGGCGGGGATAGGGATGCCATCAGTAGCAATGATTGGGACGGGGATGACATCAGTGGCAGTGGTTGGGATAGGGATGACATCAGTGGCAGAGGTGAGGATAAGGATGAACTGCCAATGACTGGCTTACCCATCCCCCAGTTATTTTTTATCGAATTAATTATTTTAGCCTAGAGCCACCTCTGCTCAGTACACACAAGCAGTTCAGCTAAGTGTATGGCTCGCCTGTATTTTCCCCTACTATGATAATATTCAGTTGTGTTTTATGTACAGTATATCTGCCCTCAGTGCCATGTACTGTATGTTATCACATAATGTCACAATGTAAAGAAGATCTATATTGTTTCTTTTGTTGTTGTTAATATTACTATTGTTGTAGATTGCCATTTGAGTTATGTGGTTGTGATGGTTATTAATACAGCAAGCACAGTTGTTGTTTTCGTAAAAGCCCACTTGTAAACACTTACAATCATTACAGTTCTTTTATTCTCATATGTTGCTTTTTGACAATTTCTTTCTTGTCCTTGTAGGAGACATCTACAGCCTCACCAGTAATTTTGCGGGTGGATTCAAGAGGTTATTACTTGTATTGGACTTTTCAGAGTAAGGTGAGAAAGAAAATTATGTAGGTATTTAATGTATGCTCTACTGAGTTTTGCTGGGCAACATACAACCTTCTGGTCTCTCCCTGACTCATGTTCTGAACTGTATACTGTAAAACCTCTACAAATGCGCCACAAGGAGAAACCTTCAATATTAAAATATGTATAGAATCATGAACATTGTGGGGACATCGAAGCCAAAGTGGAGATGTTTACAGCATTTCTTCAACCAACAGTAAAAAAAACCACACACACAAAAAAAGGCAAACTGTTGGTTTCCATGTCAAATGAAGCCTACTCCTTTTTGGCCTTCAGCCACTTTAAGGATTTAAAATCAATAAAGCCCTCAATTTATTATATTACTCATTAAGACTACAGTTCATTTTACAATATTGCAGATGAGAAGCTGCAGGAAATGCATCTTTAGTAGTTTAGTATAGCCTCATATCATGCAGGCTATGCCTAGACATTATCCAGGTATCCTAATAAGAGAGAATCTATATCCAGTACCCATGTGTGTAAGCTCTAAATCACTTACAGTGCCTAAATTCCTTCAAGAAGACTATGGGGTTGATTTACTAAAGGCAAATAAGCTGTGTCCGAGAGGAAGCTGTAAAATAAGGCATAGCTCTGTTGTTCTTTCATCCACTCATGTACAAGCAAAAATTCAGTTTTTTTTTTTTCTTTGCATGTTCCCCTCAGATCTAGAGCAACTGCACTTTCAGTGCATTTGCAGTGCAGTTCCAAGTGCACAGCCTATTTGTCTTCACTAAATCATTCCCAGTGTTTCAGAAAAATGGTTAAGCTTTTAGATCAATGGGTAGTTTTCCACATGCAATTGTAGGAAGCATTATATTAATATTGCATAGAATTTTTTTGTATTTGTATAGTTTTAGCCACCGTATGGGGCTTTAGGCAAAACAGGTTACTTAGAGGTCTCCATAGTTCAAGCTTAAATACATCCCCAAAAGTGAATGAGTAAGAACAGTGGCACATCCACCTCCTCTCTCTCCCTTCAGAAGATTCCCTTTAAACTTTCAATCAAAGACAGATGCAAGAAAAGGGCTTTTGATGTGCTGTCTCTTTAGAAAACCCATTGTGCTCTGATAATCCTGTGTCATAGTTGCACTCTTGCATTATCAGTTTATTTGCAACTAACTGATACAAAACATTATTTAAAAAAATGTATTAGGCCCCTTTCACACTAACATTCTGAACCTGTCCGTTTTTCAGGTGGACCCAATCAGACCCTCCATTCTCCTCTATGGAGTGGTGGATGTGAAAGGACTTGCATACGTTTACACCTGCCTACCTCCAATTAAATCCACTAAAGAAAAATGGAAATGGGAATCCGTTCCCCTTCCGTCTAGAAGATCAGATTGGAGAGCATTTGGATGTAAATGGACAGTCGGTGCATTTACATCTACATCAGAGGGGGCTGTGAACGTGTCCGCTCTGCATAAGTGGAGCAGACATGTAATTGTCATCCGTCCTCCGTTCCAGTCTACTCAGTGGGGAATCAGCGAACAGATCCCCCACTGAGCAAGCAAATTCAAATGGACTCTGGCCCATGTGAAAGGGGCCTTAACTGTAAAAACAAAACAAATTGGTTTAAAACCCTTATCATTTTGTTTTTTAATGAAAACATTGTACCCATACAGGAACCTTGTTTCTGTACCCATCCATTCTATTAAAATACAATGTCTTTAAAATGTATTAATGATGTTACCTAAACATATACGTAGCTGAGGTAATTACATCTAAATCCAATCTGACAGCCCATTGGTCATCTATCCATAACTAGGCACATTTGGTGCACTTATTGAATGCAATACCTAATACAAATAAAATAAACTAACTATAGAGGGCAGTTGTCTAGAATGGTGAGACATCTGCATGTCTTAGATGTTAATACCCACTGTTTTTCCCCATGAGACCTGTACACACAGTTAACAACTTCTTCTTCTGAGAACAGAAAAAGATTGGCCAGGTCACACTCAGATTTCCTACCAAATTGTAAAATCTGTGTAAGCAACAATGTAGGTAGAATCCCTTGTTATGGGCCCCCAAGGTAACCCGGAATATCCCAATCCCCACTGGCATGCTACATTAGAAATGTTCTAACGATGTAATAATGAAAACTAATGTAGTCAGCATAATGTAATGTAGTCTACCTTATTTAACTTTTAAATATGTGCTTACTTAAGTATATTTTATGAATAATAAAAGTAAAAGTGACAGGATTATGGAGTACTTAGTGAGATACACACACCTCCACCACCATACCACATTAAATTCACCCTAAAGTTCACCAAAGAGGAACAACTACCACGATGCTTAATACACACTATTCTTCAGTATTTTCTGTTAGTCTCATTGTAACAGTGAAAATACATATTTACATAACTACATACATAGTCCATTTAGTTCAACCAATTAAAAAAAATCGAAAACCTCTATATACACAATCCTATACCTATAGTTGATCCAGAGGAAGGAAATAATAAAACAACAAAGCATGATCCAAATTACTCCAGTGGGGGAAAATGTCTTCCTGATCCCCATGGAGGCAATGTTACCTAGATCAACTACCCCTGATGTTATTATCTATAATTTATAGTATTTAGTTATATTTTGTGAATTTAGAATCGTATCCAGCTGTTTTTTAAAACAATATACTGAGCTGGCCAGAACTAGGTCTTGAGGGAGACTATTCCACAGTTTCAAAGCTCCTACTGTGAAGAAGTCTTTCTGTATATGGAAGTTAAATCTCTTTTCCTCCAGATGTAAACCATGCCCCCTGTCCTCTGTGATGCCCTTAAAGTAAATAACTCAACAGCAAATTCATTGTATGGACCACTTATGTATTTAGACATGCTGATCATATCCCTCATTAATCCCCTTCTCTAAGCTCAGCTAATATTTTCTCATAGCTGAGCTCCTCCATGCCTCTTAATTAGTTTGCTTGCCATTCTCTGCATTTTCTCCCATTTCTTGCCCTTCTCTGTACTTTCTTCAGTTCTCCAATATCCTTTTTGTGAACTGGTGTCCAAAACTGAACTGCATATTCCAGATGAGGTGTTACTAATGATTTGTACAGGGGCAAAATGTTGTCTCTCTCTTTCTCTCTCTCTACCTCTTTTAATACATGAAAGTGTTTTGCTAGCTTTAAAAACTGCTTTAGAAACTGCAGCTTGGCATTGCATGCTATTATTAGGTCTGTGATCTACCAAAACACCCAGATTCTTTTCCATCATTGATTCCCCCAGCTGTTCTCCTTCTAGAATGTATGATGCAGGATTGGTTTTAGTCCCCAAGTACATAACTTTACATTTATCAACATTAAACCTAATTTGCCACATTGTTGCCCAATTAAACAGTGCATTGAGGTCACTTTGTAAATTGGAGACATTCTGTAGGGACGTAAATACAATGCATAGCTTGGTGTCATCTGCAAACACAGACAGAAAGGTACTTTTAATCCCAGACTCTATCTTATTTATAAATAAATTACAAGTCAGAATATTAATCATTATTGTCTACTCTCTGAATAAAATCTTTTTAGCCAGTTTTCTATCCATTTACAAACTGAATTTACTAAGCCTGTAGATTTTACTTTACACATTAGCCATGTGTGAGGACTGTGGGGAACTGTGTAAAAACACACTTTTTCAAAGTACAAATATCTTCTACAGTCAGGTCCATAAATATTGGGACATGGACACAATTCTAACATTTTTGGCTCTATACACCACCACAATGGATTTGAAATGAAACGAACAAGATGTGCTTTAACTGCAGACTGTCAGCTTTAATTTGAGGGTATTTACATCCAAATCAGGTGAACGGTGTAGGAATTACAACAGTTTGCATATGTGCCTCCCACTTGTTAAGGGACCAAAAGTAATGGGACAGAATAATAATCATAAATCAAAGTTTCACTTTTTAATACTTGGTTGCAAATCCTTTGTAGTCAATTACAGCCTGAAGTCTGGAATGCATAGACATCACCAGATGCTGGGTTTCATCCCTGGTGATGCTCTGCCAGGCCTCTACTGCAACTGTCTTCAGCTCCTGCTTGTTCTTGGGGCATTTTCCCTTCAGTTTTGTCTTCAGCAAGTGAAATGCATGCTCAATCGGGTTCAGGTCAGGTGATCAACTTGGCCATTGCATAACATTCCACTGCTTTCCCTTAAAAAACTCTTTGGTTGCTTTTGCAGTATGCTTTGGGTCATTGTCCATCTGCAGTGTGAAGCGGCGTCCAATGAGTTCTGTAGCATTTAGCTGAATATGAGCAGATAATATTGCCCGAAACACTTCAGAATTCATCCTGCTGCTGTTGTCAGCAGTCACATCATCAATAAATACAAGAGAACCAGTTCCATTGGCAGCCACACATGCCCACGCCATGACACTACCACCACCATGCTTCACTGATGAGGTGGTATGCTTAGGATCATGAGCAGTTCCTTTCCTTCTCCATACTCTTCTCTTCCCATCACTCTGGTACAAGTTGATCTTGGTCTCATCTGTCCACAGGATGTTGTTCCAGAACTGTGAAGGGTTTTTTAGATGTCGCTTGGCAAACTCTAATCTGGCCTTCCTGTTTTTGATGCTCACCAATGGTTTACATCTTGTGGTGAACCCTCTGTATTCACTCTGGTGAAGTCTTCTCTTGATTGTTGACTTTGACACACATACACCTACCTCCTGGAGAGTGTTCTTGATCTGGCCAACTGTTGTGAAGGGTGTTTTCTTCACCAGGGAAAGAATTCTTTGGTCATCCACCACAGTTGTTTTCCGTGGTCTTCCGGGTCTTTTGGTGTTGCTGAGCTCACCGGTGCATTTCTTCTTTTTAAGAATGTTCCAAACAGTTGTTTTGGCCACACCTAATGTTTTTTGCTATCTCTCTGATGGGTTTGTTTTGTTTTTTTCAGCCTAATGATGGCTTGCTTCACTGATAGACAGCTCTTTGGATCTCATCTTGAGAGTTGATAGCAACAGATTCCAAATGCAAATAGCATTTGAAATGAACTCTGGACCTTTTATCTGCTCATTGTAATTGGGATAATGAGGGAATAACACACACCTGGCCATGGAACAGCTGAGAAGCCAATTGTCCCATTACTTTTGGTCCCTTAACAAGTGGGAGGCACATATGCAAACTGTTGTAATTCCTACACTGTTCACTTGATTTGGATGTAAATATCCTCAAATTAAAGCTGACAGTCTGCAGTTAAAGCACATCTTGTTCGTTTCATTTCAAATCCATTGTGGTGGTGTATAGAGCCAAAAATTTTAGAATTGTGTCGATGTCCCAATATTTATGGACCTGACTGTATATCTACAGCCACTCCTGTGTCTAAGTTTTCGCATACCGCCTCTCAAAAAGAAATCAGATTTTTTGACAACTTTGTTGTTTCATACATCCATACTGGCTATTGCTTAAAATATTATTTTCTGGAAAAATATTTTTTTTATTAAACGCTCAAATATCTTCCTGACTAAAACAGTTAAACTAACTGGTCTGTAAAAAGAAGCAAGATGGAACAGCGCTACACATTGAGATATAAAAAATGCAGGATGATCGAACCGTATTACAAAAACGTCCAATGATAACTATTTCTCACATCTATAACACAAATATACATTCAAATATAGAGACATTGAGTAAAAAAAGTCCTTAATATTAATTTTCTAGATTTACATCACACCAGTTCATCCGTGAGGGACAAGTGTAAAACACCACTCATATGCATCCACCAACATCAGCCTGTTATCGCTGTATGATATACTGTGACTTTGGTCACTATGCGCTTTAATCCTTTTTTTATACCCTGGGTAACTGGGAATCTTCCTCCGGATCAGTAAGTGGTTCCTCTGCATGCCTCTCAAGGATCATGGATGTATGTTCAAAACATAATAAAAAATCATAATGTACTCCGTATAAAAGCACATTTATTAAGAAATAGATAAAAAAGCCACTCACGAGTAACGTGCACTAGGCTGGTGCACTGCAGGATAAACGTATGTCTGCACAATGTTACCAGTGTGAGAACCACACCTTGTGAGAGACCAGAGTCATTGGCTGTAGCGTGTTCCAACCGCTGGATATAGATATGCACTCTACCCCACTCCTAGGTTAGTCTCATGGAAAAAGTCCAAAAGGATAGTCTTAACATCACCAGCTCCTCGCCCTTACACGTTACGCCAAACGTGGGTTAGTCAGAGGGGCTAGTATGTAGTTACTTGGCAAAGACTTTGATACTTTTTTAAATATAGGAACTACACTATGCCAGTCATTAAACAATCTCTAAAAATTAGAAACAATGGCCTAGAAATAACGCTGCTCAAGTCTTTGATGACCCACGGGTGTAAATCATCTGGTCCAGGTGCTTTATTCACCTTAATTTTGTCCAAGTGTTTCTGGACCATATCCGTTTTGAGCCATTATAGATCATTTGGGGCTATGTCAATACAATCCCCATTAGGAACTTGAGTTCACCCATTTTTCTTTGCATACAGATCCCAATTTGATTGCAGATCAATGATTTGAGGACAACTTCCTTCTATAGAAAATACTACAACAATGCCAGATGAATGACTGTGGTTCAGCCGGAACCCTGACCGTCTCTTTAGCAATGTACAGCAACTAGTAGGAGCTCTAAGTTCCCTAAGTGTTTAAAATACCATCCCACCTGGCTATGGTATCTGATCCCAGAACTGCCCCCTGAAGGCTTGCCGGAACGTGCACCCAGCAGACTTCTCCCTTCTAGGCCCTGGGAGTGTAGAGGTACTCACACTGTCCTTATCCTGCAGCTGTGGATAGAACTGGTTTCCGGCCTCTGTAGCTGGGCTGGTTCCTCTCCAGGCTTTGCAGGCTGTCATTCCCCAGTGGATTGTAGGAGTGTGGAGCTCCTCCTGCCTGGAAGCAGAGCCCCCTTCTTCCACAGCTCCCTCCTAGGCTACGCAGCAGCATCTCTGAGCAATACATCTTCCACCCAGCTCCCCTGCTGACTAGGCTCTGTCACATTTATGAGCTGATCTGCCACATTCCCAGGTCTCCTGACTGGGATTGGCCAGACTCTCCTAAATATGCAGATCAGCCCCTCCTCACTTTTGCCTACTGACTTCTGGAAGCTTCTCCAAGTTTCTAGAGTGGGGGAGGTACCAGAGTACTGACCTATAGAGCCCTTCAGCCCTGACCTGAAGTAACCCTCTGGCTAAACCCAGGCTTCTAGCAAGGCACAAATTACTCTGACCAACTATATAAACCAGAGGGAGCTGCATAGAAAAAAAAACTCCTTTTTGCCTCTGCCAAATACAAGTCTACCCTGCCTAGTGATAAATTCAGTCCTGAAATACAGAGCCTAAATTGGTTCATGAAGCTTGAAGTTAATTCATCCCTCATACAATGGAGGAGACCATTCTGTGAATGGACCAATGTTCCTCAAAATGTTGGCTATCCTTTACCTATGATATAGTCTGAAAAGTTGTGATTGAACTGACTGTTAGCACAAAGAAAGCACTTGGCAGTCTTTCAGAGTATAGCTGAACTGAATACTAGCATGATTAAATCATCTCCTGTTCATTATTTTGCATAGCATATTACATTTTCTGTTGCTGCTCTTTCAAATGTGATTTATGATTTTTGCAGGAAATTGAATTTATTGAATTAACCAGTATCCGAGATACAAGATTTGGAAAATATGCCAAAATCCCAAAGGTATGATGTTATGAAAATCACTGAATGTTGAAAACTGTTAGCTCCATTAAATTGGCTACCAGCACTTAGCTCTTATTTGTAGAATCACATTTAGACTAGCCTCTCTATTTAACTTGTAACTCATGTGAAATCAGAGACTTTTGGGGTACCATGTTAATTGAAACCCACTTTTATAGAAAAATTTATATATCAACAAAAATGTATGTTACACCTCAAAACCTACAGTATACCCTTATTCAGTTCCTGTATGATTTTATACTGCATCCTTTTGTTGAAGAGTCATAGGGGGAGATTCACTAGAGCACACAGAATCTAGTGCAGCTGTGCATACTAACCAATCAGCTTCCAGGATTTATTGTCAAAGCTTAATTGAATAAGCTGAAGTTAGAAGCTGATTGGTTACTATCCACAGCTGCACCAGATTATATGTGCACTAATTTTAGTAAATCCCCCACAATCTAATCCAAATATGATCCAAACAATCAAAGCACATGTGGAAAAGAGGCAGGTAGAAGGTGATTCTTCAGGAGATCATAAAATTCTACAGAAATTGAGTAGCGGTATGTGGCTGTGGAGGTCAACCAGGGCAGCAACATCCAATCGGACTGTTGCTCCCCTAGTGACACCTATAGGTTCTTCAGAGCAACACAGCTCCTCCTCCTCAACCTCCATTCCCCTCTGCACAGCACCACTTACAGCGAGGAGAGTGAACTGCACCTGCCTACATGTACAGGTTAAGAGGTGTAACATGCTTTTTGCTTGATCTGTTGTTTCTATGATGAACTTCAAACAGACATAATAATGTTTTCTATAAGAATTTTCAATCCTAAAAAAGTTTTTAATAAATATATGATTTTTTTTAAAGAAATGAAGTGGTTAAATGTGATTCATATAGTATAATAATATATGGCACATAATGTATATTGTATGGTATAACTCTTACTTTGCAGCCTACTGTATGTAGAAGGAGTTTTTGTAAATAAAATAACTTGTATTATGCACAGTATTATAACCACAGTAAAGGCTACAAGTTGATGGCATCAGTTTGACTTGCAGCTGACATTTCTCTGAACTGCATTTGACCTGCAGAAAGCATGTTTTGCATGCCCATGAACTTGCACGGGAATGCATACTTTGCTAGAAGTAGACAAAGCCCATTGACGCAGGCCTTTAATATAATTAGTGCTTTTGCTACTACCTAGTATATGGGTATGAGAACCAATATTTTAAAACACCTGATTTTTCATCCAACTAAATATTCACAATGCTGGTGTTAAGCTATCAACCTCCATTATAGAATGTCTGTTCATTATAATATCAAAATCTATTAAATAGAATGATGAGGCCTTTAACGAATGACTACTATATACGCTAAAATAGATTCTAGTTTACGCTCAAGTAGCTCCAGTGTAATACATCTTAATAAGACTTACAGAATAAGCATGAGTTAGCATATATTAGGTTTGAAATAAATACATCATACCTGAATATGTATAATCTAGTAATAGGTTGCATGTTTTGAGTTAGATTGTTGTTGGAGAGGCGTTATAGAAAGAGAAAATGTGAAGTCAGCAGAAAAATTCCTCTGAAGGAATAACCAAAAATGAAAAACAAAATCTGAAAAATAAAAGTATAGGCATTTATCATCTTTAAAACTGATCACGAAGTTGTAATTTCTTTTGGTTTTTAGTCCATGTGTGTCTATTTATGGATGATTTGGAATATTGCATACTAGTATAGCCAGGTGCTGGGCTACTAGAATAGCCAGGTGCTGAGACATCATATTTTTATTCTTCTCTCCCTCTACTGAGATACTGATGCTATGCTGCACCATTCTGCTCCAGACAGCAGGGGGAGAGCTAAAATCAAGCAGGGCCATAGAGTTAGAATCCTGAGAATTGTAGTTTGAGACGGCAATTATAAATGAGGAAAATGGACTCCTTACTCTACAGATCCCAATAGACACTGCACAGTAGAAGGAGTGGAGAGATGATTTTTATTAAACTGTAGGGGAAAGCTCTTACTCTTGGTGCCAAGGGAGAGAGAGAGCACCCTGCAGTGGGAGACCATACTGGCAGATCTGAGCCTGAGAGTAGGAGGGAGAACATCTGGGGGCAGCTCAGCACCACCCACATAACAGCACCTGCACCGCTGCCGCAGGGAGATTGGAGCATCCACTCACCCTCTGCTTCCCACCGCTGATTACTGGAGGCTTTTGGGGTGAGATGGTGGCTGAGCTGTCATTGCAGCATCCCAGGGACTGGTGAGAGGGCTATTTGCCCATAACTGACACTGCTTGCAGGGACTGAGCCATTGAGAGCAGGATACTAAAGTGTATCCAACCCATACTGCACTCTATACCGCTCTTTTTCCAAACCTAGACTGCACCTATACCAACCCTATACTAAACCTTTACTGTATCTAAACAACATCTACCTTGCACCTGTGCTGCAGCTATACCATACCTTTACTGTACCTATACTGAATGCAGGTTACTGGGACTGTCGTCAAGTACATCAATACTCTTAAAGGGCCCCAACATTAGCAGGCAGAAGAACTCCTCAAAGGACTGTCCCTCCCACAATAATTATTCATAAAGTTCCCTTTTTCCCCTGCCCCCTCCTTATCATTCTCCTTTTCCTAGACAGTGCATATCCAGTAGGTCTAGGACAGTATCATTCCAGCACTCAGTAAATTAAACTTTATTACTGCTTACTGGTGCACTTCAGGTGGCCTTGCTACTACTTGTGTTGATCTGGACGCCAAATGTCATCCTATACCTAGTCCTTACTGTTAAACAGTTTGTTAATTAGTGTTATTTCCATCATCAATCCATATTATGCTTGCCTTGTTACCAGTCATTGGGTGACAATATATTAATGAAACAAGAATTCTAGAATTCAGAGGGGAGCTCAAAGGCACCTACATCCCAATTGGCAACAAAGAAAGATAAAGAAGAGGAGAATGAACTCCTCACTGAAGCAAAAAAGTTAACGGGACTTTAAAGGTACCAACAATAATGAGAAAATAGTGACTAAAAATATAACATTTATTTCAATTGTTTAAAAAGTTTAGAAATATGAAATATATATTTGAGTATCCACACTTGGTGATGATACTTAATGAATAATCAATATCCGGTGTGTTATTTCTCAACATGTTTTGCCTATTTTAAGGCTTCTTCAGGAGATATTGAACCTATAACAACAAATCATGTCAATTACAAAATATGACAAAAAACATATTAACAAATCAGATAACCACAATACACACGTTAATGCCAAAGACATAGTAATCAATAATTCATAAATAGGTCTCAAAAATCGATGAAGGGCACTTACAAGCCAAAGCATAACTGGCTCAATAGTACGGATTGTTTGTAGGCCAATTAGTAGGTGGTTTAGAAGAACAAAAAGTTCTAAGATCAGCCTGGACATAAAGACAGCTCAAATGGTTGGTAACGGAAACCATAAGTTAAATGCAAAGTATATAAAAAGAGAACACTCAATCAACTGCCACCCAATATTCTAGGTTTAATTAATAGCTTAAAGCAAAAAAAAACTTGTTTTTTACCTTGGTAAGATAGAAATATATCCAAAAGGATTCGATGAACACTACTGATCAATGCCATACCAGTAACAGTACATCAAAGACAAAAAGGGCCAGAAATACCAGTCCAATTGGAACACTGAAACAAGATATGTGTAGTGAATTAGAAGCAGAGATCAGATGAAACAAATCAACCTGCCAGTAGTAAAAAGACTCAAGAAGGTAATAATACTACTAAATTTACCTCAATTAAGTAATTGAGGAAAACCAAAGGGAGAGGTGGCAGTGATAGACCAGGGCTATATAAAAGCCCAATCCTCAAAGGGAAACGGAGCAAAGGAGCACTTCAGCAGTCACATGACTGACCAGCCCTAAAGCATACCTAAATTTAAAAAAAATACTAGTCCTTATGTGTGTTGCCTGCTTTTGTTTTCTTTTTTTCAAGCTTTTTTTCTCCTTTATTTCTATCTGGTGATCCTGCTAGTGTTAGTGCATTGAATCTCATGCTGTAATCAAATGCTAATTCTATAGTAGAATAAAAATAAAATCCCCATTTAGAGGTCAGCATTAAAGTGTATGTAAAGACAAAGTTCTGTTTCTTTTTTTGGAATAGGGGACAGTTAGATTTATCCTCTCTATTTATCCTTTGACCACTTTTACTGAGAAAAAAAATGACAAGAAATCCAAAATTTTAAGTTTTCTTAAGAACAAGGAATAAGGAGAAATTTTCCATTTAAGACATTTGGTAGAGATGGTTAAAAAAGAAGTTCAGGATTTTTTTTTGTTAAATTATACTTACCCGCTGGCTCTAAGACTGAGAACTGAACGATCTGACCCCCCCCCAGCGCTCATTGGAGCACTAGGCTGTGGAGGAGGTGGGAGCGACTGCATCAGGCTCTCAGCAGATCACTGAGAGGCTGAGACATCTACCGGTCCAGCGGTCTTTCCCCAGCCTGGACCGACTGAATGACATCAGCCGACAGCATACTTAAGCCCGCTGGCTTTTTTTTTACCAATCATACTTAACTAGATTGATGCAGGATTGATCCAATGCTGCATCTGTCCCCCGCTGATCACTCAGTTCTCCCTGCAGCTCTAAGCAGACAGCAGTGATTGTCATTTACCGCTGTCTGCTCTCCCCCCCCAGTACTCACTGGAGCGCTGGGCTGTGGAGGGGGCAGGATCTTTTCCCGGCCTGGACTGGCCCAGTGAAGTCAGCTGACAGCGGACTTTATCCTGCTGTTGGCTAAAAACGGGTCACAGGAGTGCGGAACGAACTGCTCTCCTAAGATCCATAGGAGAAGTATGGCCAAACGAGCTTTGGCTTTACTTCTACTTTAAGTATCCCCAATGAAAGACAGCAACAAAGGACCTCAAAGAAGTCTAAACTCTTCACTACACTATTCAGAACCCAAAAAGAAAGGTTTTGCTTTTGAATACACTTTAAAGAT